CCCCCCCCCACACACACACACACACTGAGCCTAATACTTTAGGAAATATGTAGGCTATTCTTTTTATCCTGCTCTGAAAGATTGTAATCCAGCCTAACACATCAAACTGAAGTGAAGAAAGAAACTAACAACAAAGGGTATAAAGGAGGTATAATGGTGAAGACAATTTGTATTAATATTTAGTTCCACTGATTTGACTGGAGTATTCAGGGAACAAGATGAATTAAATGTCAAAAAGTTTTTTTCAGGTCTTTTTGATAAAACCAGATACTGTAGATAAGCAGTGGGCACCCTGGACTAGTAAGTGAGCCACATGAATGGCCCCCCTCTTTCATCTCAGTGGGCTGCAAGATTGTCATAATCAAGACGATTTCCCAATACGGGCTAGTTTTGCTAACTTCACTTGCATAACTGGAATTTACAGCGTGTGTGCCAACTGAAGTGTAGCAGAACTTTGATTAGATGCAAAGGGAGTGCACAAAGTGCAATCAGCATGCACCTCACTTCACATTCCCTCGTTTTACATGCATGGCACTTTAGTAATACCAATAAAAAATAAAACTATGTGGATGGAAACTAGCAGAATCTGGCAACCCTGCATGTGGGCAACAGTAAACAGAATATCCCATGGACAGTGTTTCCTCTAAGCTGTGGGGCAGCACAGCTTCACAGGTGATTAATTAGCCCCGCCCAGCCAGTCAGCTCTGTGCAGGGAGTCCTGAGCCTCTGACTAGGCTCTGATTAATCACCTGTGAAGCTGTGCTGCATCACAGCTTAGAGGGAACACTGCTCACGGGTCACATGTGGAATCTTGAAGGACTGTCGCCCTCGGGTTCCAGGTTGCCCATCACTGCTGTAGATAACATTAGGGAGGATTTTTGCTTGAATCTGGGGCCGGGAGAGACAGTACATGTGGTTCGTAAGAATAACATTTGATTGTCAACAAAATGAAGAGGAGCATTATAAAAAGTGTTTTGAAGCAAGAAAAATAGGGAGAACCCTGATTTTGCTCCTGATATTTATTCCTGATCCATTTTACTAAGCATGGGAAAATACAAATAGTGGAAAGAACTGTTTTGTAATGTAATCTATACAGTATTTGTACCTCTAATTTAGATATTTTAAACGACTTGTGTGTGTTTCGTAAAATATGCTTTATTTTAAAATTAGGGCTTCCTGTTGCAGCTGTTCCTGGAGCGCTGAGTCCTTTGGCTATTCCAAATGCTGCTGCTGCAGCTGCTGCTGCTGCTGCTGGCCGAGTGGGTATGCCTGGAGTCTCAGCTGGTGGCAATACAGTCCTCCTCGTTAGCAATTTAAATGAAGAGGTCAGTGTAACCATTAACTCTTTTTTTCCCCCCTTATTTTGTAACCACACTTCATCTGTGAATGTTTTCATTTTTTTGCACTGGCCCCTCTTTTCACTGGCATACTTTCATTTTAAAGTTATTTTCAAGTCTTAAGTTAATTTTGAAACTGTAAACTTCATTTTTTTTTATTATACATTTGTTTTCCTAGGTAGCTAGCAACTTAAAATATCCATTGATATTTGGCTACCTATTTTTCCTAAGAAAAATATGGTAAATATTGCATGTTTGGCTTTCAATTTGTAATTTAAATATGTTCACAAAAACAGCAAAGAGTATTCTGATTTGTAGATTATATTTTATGTAAAGTAGAATTGTGTTTTTCTTTTCTAATTATTTGCTGCTTCATTTCATGCTTACATGTCACTGCATTTTTAAAATCTTAATTTATGTGAACTACTCTAACACCTTTTTCTTTGAAGGTTCTTCCAAAGATCTTGACGAGGCACTCTTCCAGTCTCTCTTAGTAATTTTTTTCTTTGCAGTTATTATTCATTTGTCTTCAAAAACATTTTTCACCTTAATACTGTTATCTTTCTTGTTAACTCTAAAATCTAAGGGGTTGTTTCATTTAGTTTTACATTTTTACTGTCTTGTACCTTTTTTATTGCTGTGGAAGCTGGTATGAAATGTGGGAGGTTTGATGTATCGTTTGTCCTAGTTGGAATATTTGTTTCATTTTTAACTGGCCTCTGTTAATGTGATTCATTAAGCTTATTTATCATTTGTTACTATTTTCTCATCAACAGTCTTGCATGTTAAAATGTTTGGATCAGAGTGCCATTTTGAAGGATTTTTGCCTGCATTTCATACCCAGCCATGCTTATGCAGTTGAAGTTCAGAGTTAAAAATTTCTATTGCATGCTTTTTTTTCATGTTGAGATGAAATGCTGTAATTTATTCTTTGATATGGATGTACTTTACCCATATTTGTCTTGGGTGACTACATTTTACTCAGTTTTTTTCTTGTACAGTACATAAACCAACCATTTTCTGACCAAATT